CTGAAATGAATTTTATACCATTTTTTGGGGGACACATAGAGCTTTCTTTTGGTGGTATTTAATCACCACTGTGAGTTTTATTTTTTACTATATTTAGGAAAAATTACTGAAAATTTTGAAGAAAAAAAAAAGTTATTTTTTTTTAACATTATGTTATAAAACAGTTATTCTTACCCAATTTTTTTTTTTTGGTAAAATATAAAAGTCGAGGTCACGTCGGGTAAATAAACACCAAACATGTCGAAATTTAAAATTGCACGCACCCGCAAAATCGCAAAAAAACAACCCTACCCGAAATTGACAATAGGCGACGCTTTAAAAGCTTTTGCCGCTCATCAGTTTAGTGTTATCAGTGATTGAAGGCCATAAAATGATTGCTCTCACTGCGACGTTTTCAGCGATATGTAACATGCGGCGCAATGGGCGCAATCGTCGTTTTTGCCCGTATGCACGCCCGTAGGACCCTACAAGGGAAAGGAGTCACCCTAAAACAGGATATCAGAACCAGTGCTCAGGGGATCGGATGATTCTGCAGGAAATTCAAGCATTTGAGTATCAAGAAGCAGCGTCCATAGTAAGTGATGTCATCAGCATCGGAAATAGCTTGAAAACCATTAAGATTTAAGTATCACTGATGTGTGTAGATTGTGCAAGATCTCTGTAGGTAAGTCTGAAGTGCTTCTCATTGGTCAACATGGTCAGAAAAGCTTCTCATTGGTCAGCAGGGTCAGAAGCACTTTGCATTTGTCAAGAGGGGTCAGAAGCGCTTCTTATTGGTCAGCGGGGTCAGAATCACTTCTCATTGGTCAGCACAGTCTGAAGTGCTTCTCATTGGTCAGTGCGGTCAGAAGCCCATTTCATTGGTCAGCGCAGTCAGAAGCGCTTCTCATTGGCCAGCGCGGTCAGAAGCGCTTCTTATTGGTCAAGTCGGTCAGAAGCGCTTCTCATTGGTCAGCGCGGTCAGAAGCGCTTCTTATTGGTCAGCACGGTCAGAAGCACTTTTCATTGGTCAGCATGGTCAGAAGTGCTTCTCATTGGTCAGCACAGTCAGAAGTGCTTCTCATTGGTCAGCACGGTCAGAAGCGCTTCTCATTGGTCAGTGCTGTTACAGGTGCTTCTCATTGGTCAGCGGGATCAGAAGCACTTCTCATTGGTCAGCAGTTTCAGAAACGCTTCTCATTGGTCAGCACAGTCTGAAGCCCTTCTCATTGGTCAGCGTGGTCATTTGCAAGCAAAATGTAGAATCCAGACCCCAGGGCTGCGCTACATGCCACAGATAGTACACCAGCATTGGCGGAGGGGAAGGAGCATTTGACCAAAGGTAAGTATTGCCGGGTGGGTGGGAGATTGCCGCAGTCAGGGCCGGATTTACTCTCCCTGCCGCCCCAAGGCCAGGTTCCACAATACACCCTCCCC